GGAACTTCTGAAAGAGTAATTGGAATTATTTTAATAATTAAATTGGCTCATGATTTAGGGGATTTAAATTTAAGAGCTTTGAATCTAAAATGATAATTAGGGGGTTAGGAGAGAACCAAAATATTTTTGGAATTTATTTTGGTAATTTGTTAATATTATTGTATTGTAAAAATGATATAAACAATAAACGTTTCTTCTACTGTACTTTCTCAGTTTAGTCACCACTGAAACGTCTAAATATTAACAATTCGTTGAAAATCGAAAATTCGCGAGTACTTTTTGGAGCCACTGTATAGATTTGAAAATGATTCCGTATCTATCACCTCGCAATCGTTAGGAATCTCAAAAATGTCCTTTCTCCGCGCCGGTGAACGTATTTGTCGGGGTGTTCGTGTGTCTCCTTGGACACACACGTGTAATACGCCGCACCCTTCGGTAAGAAATGCCAAGAAAATGTTCCGGCACCTCTCGATGGGAAACCACAGGAAGAAAAGAGATTCGCCGTGAGTCACCGCAGATTTATGAAGTTGTCGGGACGATCGTATTCGCTCCGCATAGATCCGGTTGACTTTGCCCTCGACAGCCCTTCAGGAGCGGACATTTTTGTACCCCATGAGGTCCAGACGGCTGATACCGTGTTATCAAATGTTATCATAAACCCTCGAAACTTTCGACTGAAAAATTGTTTAAATCTAAAAAATTGTCAAAACTACAAGTGAAGAGTGTTTTATCCGAAACAGAGCATCTAATACACTTATTTAACTATAACGCTACAACAAGCGTTATTATGATATGTAATCCCAACTAAAATAAGTTCCATGCAAATTGAAAATTTTCAGAGCTCAAGGTCATTTGACGATCATACAATTATGACGGATTAACAGGATGAAGTAGATAAATAGGTGATCAGTCTTACGTGAAACACTCTGTGCATCCTGCAATTTCTTGAATCTGAACATAAATCTAAGAATATAAGTTCGTTATATATATAGAGAGAGAGAGAGAGAGATTTATATATATATTACAAATATTAGTAAAAAGTTCGGAAGAATTTAAGGACACTGTTATAGCCCCCTGACCTTACTGGAATTTATAGAGGAAAAAATGAAATTCTATTCCATATCAGCTACATTCGGTATGCCAGTTTCTAAATAATTAGCTTATCATTATAATAATATGTTCTTCGAAGAAGACAATTAACAGAAATACAGATGAAATAATAATCTGATTTAAATCATCGAAACCACGTTTAATAAATTTGAAAGAGTTATTAATCGAGCTTCTTGGACTAGATGCAAAGTATAAATAATTTAAAGAAAGCGAAACATTAGTCGGTAGATTCGTAAATCGAAGCAACATGTAACAACATCTAGCGTTGAATTTGGGCACTAACGAAACAGAGGTATTAAAATATCTTCCACAGACGAGATATCAGAGTAAATTGGACAGGATATGGGCAGCCTGTGTTCTTACTATGACCGTCGTAGAGTTTTCTTGTGCTGGCATCATATGCAGTCGCTCACGAAAATATTCGGACACCTTTTATAATTGAATAACTTTCTTAAATTGGACCAAATAGTATGAATTTTCTTGGAGATATTGGAAAAACTAGTTTACTACAAAAAGAATAGAACAAATTATTTTTTTTTCAACATATTTTTCATATTTTAGTGATGAACTATAGATCCAGACTTGTGCGCACCATGCGGTGAATTTTCATACTAATCGCAATCAATATTAAAAGTCTAATTGAAACGTTTGCTTGTTGTGTTGTAACATCCATCCAGACTGCTGAATGTTCACAGTATATTTAATTACAAACAGCATAAACAATCACTCAGTCACGTGTATAATTAAAAAGTAATTGTACTAATTGTGGTATTGTGACACGAAACGAACAATATGGGAGAGAACGTAGAAATCGATAAGCTAATGGATAACCTCCGAGAACTACTGGATGAATATAAAGAATTGGTAGAAAATAATAAGAAAGACGAGGGAATAGAGATTATGAAGACAGTGGAAAAAGTTGTAATTAATATGGAAGAATTATGCACTGATGAGGAAAAGAAAAAGGAATTAATCGTGCTGCATGCAACGGTAAATCTAAATGTTGCTTCTTTATATCGTGATATAGGGGAACTGAAAGACCATGAAACACACTTACTGAAATGTTTGGACTTATTGCAAAAACAAAAGATAGATATGAAAATGAAGCTCAGTCCAATTATTGGGTGTCTGGGTCGATTAGGTATGATTTATTCCGAATGGAACCAAAACGAGAAAGCGCTAAATTATTTCAATACATTGGATCAAATCTTTGTTGACTATGCAAGTGTTGGGGACGATTATATTTTTGAAGAGCCCATCTTCACTTTTATGAATATCATAAATAATGTGGAGAAATTTAAAACTACATTGGAGGACTTTCACATGCTAGCGTTGTATTCTATGGTTCAGATTTATTTTGCTCTGGGTGATCACAAAAATTCTGCTCTATCGTGTCATAGGACTTTGTGCAAACAGTTGTATCTCAACAAAACTACGCAAAAGCTAGACTATATAGATTGGGTTTTGAACGCAGCAACATTGTCCCAATACTTTTTGCAAATTGAAGCCTTTGATCTAGCGAGGCATCATTTAGCTGCTGCATCCTATATATTAGAAACATACGAAAATATATTGAAGGAGAAAACCAAAGAGAATCCAGAATCTGAGCAAAATGCTGCAGATTGGGAAGATTTTAAACACAGAAGTGCAGATGTTGCTATGTGTTGGTCGAAGTATGGTATCATACTTTTAGATGTATCTAAGGAAAGGCTTTTAGAAATGAGCAAGCTGGATGAAGATAATAATGAGACATTTCAACAGATGAATCTGAAAAAAATTTCAGAATTGAAATCGATTGCAAACTTAAAATTCCATGATTTAGAAGAGAAAATAGAACCGATTGAAAACCAAGTTACTGATCAATATTTGTTAGATTTCGATGATGCTAAGCCAATATTTTTAAATGTTAAAAAATGGTTGGACCAGGCTAAATCCTATTACACATTGAATGAACACGCATCGGTTCATGTAACAATTGCAAAAAGTCTTGCAGGAGCATACTATCACTTAGCGTTCTTTGAAGAGGACGGAGATAGACAAGCAAAAATGCACAAAAGGAGGATAGATGTTTTAGAAAGTGTTATAAATGAATTAAATCCTCAGTATTATAAAGCTGAATGTAGACAATTCTGGATTTCTTTAGGGGAAGCATATTCGGATCTACTTAGTACAAAGCTCGACCGTTTGAACTCCACTGACAGGAAGCCAGAAGCGATAGCAAAAATTAATCGATTGGCACAAAATTCGATAAATAATTATCAAAGGTTTCTCGATTCTTTAGATTATTGCTTTGACGATCCTGAATTGCGAGAGCTGCCCGATGATGTATTGCAACCTACCCTATCTTCCCATTTTCATATCGGTAGGCTGTATGGAAAAATGATAACTTCTGACAAAGCAGTTCAAGCAGATAATACTGAAAAGTCTATCAATGCATTGAAATTTGTTGTTACCTATTGCACGAAATATACTGCAGCATCAGAGATTATGAAATCAGAATTGTATCTTTGCAAAGAACTGATCGCTTTATTGCCGGTGAGATTAAATAAATTACGGGAATCAGTAATGAAGTAATTGATAATGCATCATTGTACATTTTAACACGTTTCTAAGCTTTATTTAATATACATTTGACATTCTCTATAAATATCTTTTGTTTTTATATTTTGAAACGAGTAATAGTTCCAAGTCTATTACACGCAATATATGTTTTACTGTTTGAAAACAGTAATTGTAATATGTACTCCGAAGAAGAAAATAAATTTTCTTATAATATATTTAAAATACTATGTTACCTTGAGATTCTTTGTCCCAAACACAGTAGAAAACAATACAATTTCACGATCGTCCCATTCAAACGATGCGAAATCACCATATTGTCGTCAGGTGGCAGCACCAATCGCTTTTTGAATTGTATTTGTCATCGAATTTATTATGTTTTTACATAATTCGTTCGCAGTTAATATTGCACTGAGATTATTTTCATTTGCTCCTTTAATTTCGAAGTTCCTCAATCAATTTGTAAAAAGAAATAATATAGAATGATTAAAATAATATTTACAGCTTCCGTCTTTCCGCATCCTCTGCCCCACAAAATTCGATACAATTTTTCTCCACTTCAAATTTTTGAAATTCTAAATTCTACATTGGTAGTGCTGATGTATAGACAATTTTCTATTTACGCGTACGTAAAAATGTGAACATTTGAAAATCAAACATCTGATTGCATTTGAAAAAGTTTGGTCTCATTATAAGGTAACTGAACTCGATCACATTAGGAGAGAAGAATTTCGCTTCGACCGTCGTCTCTAGATTAGGGTGGGGTGAACAGCTATTTGAAACGTCAATACATGTACCTATTCAGGTGTCGTTGCTGTTCTCACCGAGGAGCAGGACGATGCAAGTGCGCACAGGTGCATACCTACGCTGCCAGCGTTTCCCAAACACAAGCAACAGGTCCGCAAGGGGCACGGCCCAAAGAGGTCATCTAATCGAAGACCATTGTCCCCGTGGTCGAGTTCCAGGCATCTTTTCACTTTTGCTCGGGTCGGGCCTCGTCGTTCGAGCACGTATCGACGAACTGACGTGGTCTCGTTCGCCGGAACGAGAATGAGGGAAATAGGTAATGCTAATAAGCACCGGAATCCCATTTTTGAAAGCGCTTTTCATTGAAACTCCGTTGACAAAATATTCTTGAATAACTGACGACTCTTAACGAGCCAAACAATTCATCAGCATACTAAACAATTTTTATAGGACTATTCTTGACAATCACATAACGAGATTTGAACTGGAAATAAATGGTGCTGAACATACATAACATAGTTTTATTTTAGTCCTTGCACAACGTGTCAAACTCATGGTGAAGATTTCATTTAGGTAATCTACTAAACATATGAATGTTATTCATTTATTATAGAACGAAACAAAATTCGATTTTTCTTGTATCAAAATTTAGGGAAGTAAACGTGAATGTTATTCATTTCTTATAGAACAAAACAAAATTCGATTTTTCTTGTATCAAAATCTAGGGAACGAAGTGAACGGAGTATAGAAGAACAAAAATATTGTCTCGTTATATTAGGGAAATTATTAAGAGCGAAGCTAATCAACGAAATCACAGCGTAAGGGGTTAAGTAACATAGTATTTTTGTTTTGTCAATTTCAGGAACAAACACTTCCAATATTTAATTTTATTTATTTTCATTTAATGATACCATTTTCGGTAAATAAATATAATAAATAGCTGTTACATTAGGAATAACGGAAAGTTTAATAAGACTGCAAGAAATATCTTCAAAAATATGTTTTGAAAAATTGCTGAATAAAGCTGAGAGTTGTTATAAACATCGTTAATAGTACAGTTGTCAAAATGGCCCGCTGTCCGAGGGTCAATACTCGATTCCACGTACAAAAATCCGAACCTCCGTTATCAGAATTTACTGTTATCCAAACACGTTTTGCTTTTAAACAATACAATTTAATACGTTTCGCTTGTAGACAATTCAATTTAACCCGTTCTTTGTACACGATTTATTACTTTAAATATCAGTACAAATGCAGTCCAGCACTGTGTCTATATAACTGTCCTATTGTCTGAAAATTCATATTCTTCCGATTACTTCGGGTAACCGAGCTTCCGTGTTTGCATGAATACAAAAGTAAATTCTGCTGATCATCAATTATAATCACTGTTGCAGGTTCGAAGGTCTCGAAGATAAAAATAATTCCAAGCCTTTCGTGGAGCAGCATCCCTTACAGCTGGAGAGAGTACAGCGCGCTGAAGAATCTGCAACAATAACAAAATTGCAACAGCCGATCGATCTCCCAGGAAACAATCTAGCAATCTAGATCCTCCAGATGAAAACTCTAGCCAAGGTACTTGTGGCACAAACTTTGTTAATAATAATATTTGTCTCTACATATATATACAGGAGAAGCCCCTTTGTTACAAAAAGTTTAAGAAGACTTACAAAGTACAGAAAGAAAGAAGAAAAGAAATGGAAAAGTGAAGATAATAATGATAATGAATATGAATTAAATGGCAATTAAAGAGAAAATCAAGGAACAGTGATTGATAATAATAATAATAGAAGCAATAATAACAATAATAATAATAATAGAAGCAATAATAACAATAATAATAATAATGAAAGCAATAATAATAATAGTAATAGTAATAAAAGCAATAATAACAATGACGATAATAATAACAATAGTGATAATGAAGGACAATAATAATATTCGTAAACGGACAGAGGAAGTTTTAATTGTTATCTGGCGTTTTTCTATCTCGGCCCTTCTTCTTAGTTAGACATCGACAGGGTGAGAGAGATCAGGGGGAAAAGACGAGCGAAAGCACCTGTCTTCCTATCAAAATCGAAAAGAATCGCGAAACAGCGGACGATTGCTCTACGAAGCAGTTTTCGCTGTCAGACCTTGAAGTTTGCACTGCGTGTAACTGTATCACCACCGACAAATTTTCAGTTTTTATACATTGCAGTTAATATAATAATGAACGAATTATGTAATATTTGAGATTGCGCCGAGAAACGATATTTTTCTAAAAAACGGGGTAAATTTTATTGAGTAAAAAAAAAAGAAAAGCAAAAGAATTTATTCTTGTTCCATAATTATAGAACTAACAGAATGGAACACATCATTACACAAAAATCTAACGCAAAATACAACAAAATGAAATTACGACAATAATTTGGTAACGCGTGAGACCACCTCTATTTCCAATGAGTTAAAACATCCGACTTTGCATGCTTCACGGTTAATTGAACATCTGATTTAGTTTCCATAAAAGTCCTAGTGAAGTTACTCGTTGATTTCAGAATTTGACGTTCGAATCGAGGGGTGGTGGTGGGGGAAGGGGGGCAAATAAATCTTGAGATATTATTTCCCCCGAATTTCATGAACCATTTCCAACACTTTTCCAAAGATTTGTACCCGGGTCTGCTCGCCGCACAAAGTTCGTTCATTGTAATCTGGCGTTGCTCTCCCACCGTCTCAGTCGCGCATGGTCGTTCTCCTCAGGTAAACGTCGACAGGGGAACCAGAGGGGACACGAGCGAAGCCACCTGTAATGCGTGTAACGGTACAGAGGAGCGTACGGTGGCGCCGATTGTTGGCGACGAGAACTAAAATCTCCTTAGGCGAGGTCGAGCGGCCGCATACCACGGTCCGGGGAATCGCGTTGTGAACGCAGTCGGTGTCCGGTCGTCCGGGAACGCTCGAATTCCGAAGGTAAAACCGTGAGAGAGAGAAAGAGAGGGAAGGAGGCGGTGGTCCTGGAAGTGTGGATCCTCCGAGAATACGGCGACGTGTAAGGACCGAGTGACCCGATCGTGACACAGGTTCCCGAAGATCCTCCGCGGCGAACGACCGGTCGTCGCTTCGTTTTCCTCTCCGTTTCACTTCTCCTTTCCGCCTTACCTTCTCCTTTGTTCGCCGCGGCTGGGCCGCTCCTCCGAGAGGATCCTCGTGGTTCTCGTGAGTTCTCGTTGCGTGTTTGCTGCACGTCGTGCATCAGTGATCCACGTCCGCGCAGTCAGTTCCCCGCGGGTGACACCGTCCTCTGTTCGCCACGCCGGAACCTCCACGGTAGAGCCTAGGAGCCAAGGGTCCACGGGAAACGGGAGGGCTTCGAGAGTAAGTGGAATTTATGGTTGACGCGAGCACGCCGCTCGGAGACATCAACGCCTGGTCAGGGCATGCGCTTCTGCTCCGATCCGCTCCGATCCGCGTTCCTTCCCACCGCGTGCTACGGGCTCGTCCCCCTGTTGCGTCGCGCTGACACCCAAGGATCAAGGAACTCCAGGTGATAGGGTAGAGGAGACTATTACTGTGCCCTGTTGGCGGACTTCGGCAGTTTTCGCTAAACTAAAAGCAACGTGAGAAACGTCAATTACATCGGTGAAGTTGCTCTTAGAAATATTGAAAGAAGGTTTCATATTTGTCTCGCGGGGAAAGTTCTGTTGACGAAAGAAACTTCGAAATTTACCTTCGAGTTCTTCGGAAATGTCAATTAAATTGCTGAAGAATGTAAAGGTAAATTTCAAAGTTTTTTTTATCGGCATCAGTTTTCTTATGAGACAAATATCGAATCTTCTTTTCAATATTAGGAGAAAGAAGAAGTTCTGGAGCCAGTTACTGTGTGTCTATGATCTACAAAAATATCAGTCACTGTGCTCGCTCTCTGAACAGTGCTCCAGTTACTCTGTTCCCTCCCTGAATGCTGTGCTTCAATTACTGTGCTCTCGATAATTGCGTGCAATAAAAATTTAATATTTAACATACTTTGATCAATTTTTTTTTCTATCAAAATATCATAATAGGTCATTTAAAAGTTCATATTAGACATGATTTTAGTAAAATCTCATGTTTAAACATATGACAGAGATGATTCGAGATTGTAGGTTATGCAGGTCTATCCTGTTGGTTCAGTTACTGCGTGCAGTAACCATAAATGTCTGACCTAAAACGCTTTTTTATAAGTTTGACAGAAAATTTCACGAATTCAGTATCAAAGAATTGAAATAAGATTTGTAGTATCTCAAGAACTTTCGTCTTTCGCTTTGAATTTTAACAAATAAATAATTAATCGAATTTAAATGTCAACATTTAACGTATCTTGTTCAATAAATGCAAGGTTAAAATAAACAAAAGGCACAGCAATTGGGGCCACCCCACAATAACTGGCTCCACTACCCTTCCCTATTCGCGACTCGATTTTAAAATGGCGCTACACCCGGAGATCCAGAGATGCTGCGCGACGCGAAATGCCATCGAACGTAGCTCCTCGTACCCTCTGCTCCCTCCTCTCTCGCGATCGGTACCCTTTCCCTACCAGTAAACACCAAGTTTCGTGTGCCTTGTGTCACGTTGCCGATCGAGGCAGACCAGTTCGGAGACGCTGGAATTCTCATGATCTAGCACACGCGCCGCAACGACAGGTTGATTATTTATTTATGAGCCGGCTCTGTCGTAAAACGATTGTACAGGGCGTGTTGCCGTGGCTTGTAGCAGCTCCGTAGGAACGGTTCGGATCGAATCTCGACGGATCGAGCTTACTCGGAGGCAGGATTTTCTGGAATTCAGGTGTGCGAAGCGTGTAGATGATAATGCCGATAGAAATGGATGAACAAGAGAGCGCTCCTCGTTAGCGGGAATCGCGGCGGATAGATGCGTCGCATTGTTTACACGCGGCTATTGTGACTCATGGCAACGCGGTGCGTTCAGATTTATTTATAATGCGCCGGGTATTCTCGGCTCTCGAAGATTTTTCGAGGATTTTTACTGACACACGCGGTATATTATGAGAAAATACCTTCCCCATCCCGTCAAGGATACTTTTCACGATTTCATGGCAGCCGTTTTACTACATTCTTATTTTTCAAGCTACTACTTTGAAGTCTTCGATTTCCTTTCGGAAATTAACACTTAGATGGCTGAGGTCGGCCGATTTAAACGCAATATATAAAAATAAACGCAAAAAAATAAATAAATAAATAAACGCAAACGGATATAAATATATCCTTATTTGACTATCTAGTTTCTGACATTTAATTTTTTTTAATTATCTTAACACTGCCATGCAAAAACTATCTGTTGTATGCCGGTGGTACCACTTTGGTGCCATTTTGAAAAACTGAAATAACATTTGAACTATATTTCTTGGGAGTTAAAAGGTAGCAAAGCATTGTGCTTATTTAACTAAGAATTAAGTACGAAGATTCTTGGATGACGTATCGTAATTTCAGGAATTTATATTACCGCCATCTTCGAAATTTTTGTTTGAATCTAAAATTTCCAAGCTATTATGCCGACGTCGAACAAGAGAATCATATCTAAGATCTGCGGACGGCATAGTGTTAATAATTGAATCTGTCTAAAGAGAGTGGTCTAAAAAATCTGTCGAAAAGAATCGATTAATAATATTATGCATCCTAAGCATATTCAGTTACATCTCTGTCAAAAACGCCGCAGGTCGAAGNAAGAGAGCGCTCCTCGTTAGCGGGAATCGCGGCGGATAGATGCGTCGCATTGTTTACACGCGGCTATTGTGACTCATGGCAACGCGGTGCGTTCAGATTTATTTATAATGCGCCGGGTATTCTCGGCTCTCGAAGATTTTTCGAGGATTTTTACTGACACACGCGGTATATTATGAGAAAATACCTTCCCCATCCCGTCAAGGATACTTTTCACGATTTCATGGCAGCCGTTTTACTACATTCTTATTTTTCAAGCTACTACTTTGAAGTCTTCGATTTCCTTTCGGAAATTAACACTTAGATGGCTGAGGTCGGCCGATTTAAACGCAATATATAAAAATAAACGCAAAAAAATAAATAAATAAATAAACGCAAACGGATATAAATATATCCTTATTTGACTATCTAGTTTCTGACATTTAATTTTTTTTAATTATCTTAACACTGCCATGCAAAAACTATCTGTTGTATGCCGGTGGTACCACTTTGGTGCCATTTTGAAAAACTGAAATAACATTTGAACTATATTTCTTGGGAGTTAAAAGGTAGCAAAGCATTGTGCTTATTTAACTAAGAATTAAGTACGAAGATTCTTGGATGACGTATCGTAATTTCAGGAATTTATATTACCGCCATCTTCGAAATTTTTGTTTGAATCTAAAATTTCCAAGCTATTATGCCGACGTCGAACAAGAGAATCATATCTAAGATCTGCGGACGGCATAGTGTTAATAATTGAATCTGTCTAAAGAGAGTGGTCTAAAAAATCTGTCGAAAAGAATCGATTAATAATATTATGCATCCTAAGCATATTCAGTTACATCTCTGTCAAAAACGCCGCAGGTCGAAGGTTAACGCAGATAGCCAATGACCTGCCACTTCGAAATTTACTTTGTCGTCGCAATTCGCTTTTATTAGGATTCCTCGATAAACGATCGCAACAAAACAATTCTTAATACGGCAGAATCGTTATCAAGGTCGCGAGAATGGAAAACACGTTTCGACGACCGAAAGTTATCGAAGAAGTCGCGAAATTGTGAATTGCAGCGGGGAGGAATAGTTTCGAAACGAATTCTCGATGATTTTTCTAATGGAAGAAAGACGTCGCTTTCGAAGGTTTCTGAACGAAACAGCGAATTATCGTAGACCGCAATACGAAACGTTTTATTCGTTCGATTATAGCACATACGCGCGCAGGGCGGTTTTTAATTGAACGTTTTCGCAGCGCGATCCGGGCGCGGCGTTCGATCTAGATGCCCGATTAGGCGAAAGTATTCAAGGACAGTGAATCGTGTGACCTCCCGCTGTTGCTGGAGAAAGATGCTGTCCCGTTATTAACGTTCATTCATGTCACGTAAAACGATCGAACACGTTGGCGAGTTATTAGCGGTCATCCATCTAATGAATCGTTACGGGCTGCAACGATACAAACTGAATATGCGAGGAGAATATACGCGTATACGTCATCCAGACGGGACATTTGTATAATTCCTAAAAATATCCGTGGTCGTTGATAACGGTTTTCTGGACGGTGGGAAACTTTAATGTCACTTTAATCGAGAGACGTTCCAGGATACGTCGGCTGCGCGTTATCGTAATTTATTCTCTAATCACACGAAGTTAAGGATCCCTGTTAATTTCCATAGATTAAATTCCTTACAACCTCTAGCGGAGATAAGCACCGCGGACGGTGAAATTTTAATTAAATTTAGCGAGAGCTCCGGGAGCTATCTTACGAACACGAATGGATTTTGTTGCTTCGATTGTGGTGGAATTTCCGGGCGTAGTTAACAGGATTTATGCACGCTTGATCGTGCGGGTGATCGCGCAGTTTACGTAAACGGTGAAATCAGTGCAGGCCCAGCTGGTTATTAATAATTCGAGCATTACGGAACTTTTGTTAGCCGCGGAACGCGTCGCCGCAGCTTCGTCCCGGCGCGCGTCGAACAACGCCAGAGATTTTATTGGCCATTGTGAGCACCGGTTAATTGCTATCGCGGTCGCGGGTGTCGCCTTTGATGCTTTCAATCAACCCGCCGATAAGAAAGTCGACTTTGGTGATGCACTTTCATCGCGGATTTTGACTTGTTCCGTGCCAATGCAGCCGAACTTTCGACGGACTGCCTGGAACCGTCCTTCCAATTAGCGGCGACTGCAAATATTTGCACGATTCCGTGACCGTTTCTGAAACAATACCGCGACCGATGAAACTTTGATCGATTCGATCGGAAACGATACGTTGAAATCGCATTCCAGTCGAAGGGAAAGACGTTTGCAATTCAATTCGAAGAGAAGTTTTCATCGACGACAGGACTCCTTATAGTTATCTGAAAATCAATGATATTTTTCATTTCCATCGTTGATCGCGTTTTCTGGTATTTTGGCAACGTTGGCCATTACTTCAAAATTTTATGGTGAATTATACGAGTCGTTGAAATCGTGAATATTATAATATTCATCATAAAATTGTAAAGTAATAATAATAATTCGGTACTATAGTATCAAAATATTGGCTGCACCAACGTTATAAACGCAAGATTCGTTACAAAGATTCATTACAAGAATCGCAGTACTTATTAAAGAATTCTACACATTTCGTTTAAGTTTCAGCAATCAGACTTGAAACGACGAAAATAATTTCATCCTAGCAAAGCCTTGATAGAAAAAGAATTTACATATTTTTCATTAATTTTGAGATTAATCCACTGAATCAGAGTTACATAATTATTATTAAGAACGATGCAACTCTTAGGTTATTTTCTGTCTGTCGAAACATTTTCTGTCTGACGCGGCTGTTTGCAATGCGTCCCAACAAGAGAGGCATTGAAATCTCCAGAAATTCACTCGTGGGAACGCAATCGGCGGCTGTTTTCAACAGCGTTCTTATTCGTTAAAAAGAGATGAGTCGCGTCGACGTACACGCTCGACGACTTGTACAACGTTGCATGCGAGATAATTAATTTCTCACTTGTCTTTCATATCGATAAAACGGATGGCGATTATGAATTACATAAGGTCCTTGTATCACTGTAGCCGAGCTGCAGCTTTCTCTGTCTGACCTCGATCCTTGCTCGACGAAACCTCGATTCTTTTTGATGTTAGATTCGGCTGGGTTGCGCGTGCCTCGAAAATATCTCTGTCAGATCCACTCGGTCTTGTTCCACATTGACCTCTGGTTCGTTTTTAATCCATCGTTACTATTGCTGCAACCTCTTTGTCGCAATGTCTTAAGGATCGCATCTTGCTGAAACAAAATTAATCGTAACATTTCTGCAGTTTAGCATTTCGATTCAGATATGCATTCGACCCTCTTAATGGCGATCAAAAGAGTCCGGTGTACCAGATCGGAATATACGAAACCTGTTTGACATGGTTTGGTAAAGTTTCGATAAGAAATTACGAAGATTTTGTATAATCCGATAATTAGAAAATTCAGAACGGAAGAAGAAATAATAATAATTTATCAAAAATATTCAGACAACTAGAAGGGTTAAATATGCTCTGCAAATGTGAATGTTAATTAGCCGATTGCAGTCTGTAAAATCTCCTGCGCACGAGGGATATTATCAAGCACAGAAACAACGTTATTAATTTTTGTAAAAATTCTTCTTTACGGTAAAATATGACCGTGTTTCTCGTAGCCTCTTGCATTGCGGAACAATAGAACAGAAACAACGTACTTTATTAAAATAAAGCAACGTATTGCTCATTAACGCTGAATTAATTTATGTATTCGGAGCACTGAGGAAACAGACGGCAAAGAATTTTCTCGTTGCACCGAAAAGCTGACAGGCGTCGTCGAACCTTTGTCCTTTGTTCCCGCTGATTTGATTCGTTCGAACTTTCGTTTCCAGCAACAACGGGCAATATTTATCGTGCTCGTTAGAGAAAGTACCTAAATCATAGGGAAAGGAACTGCGTGTCATCGGGACTATGCAGATTTACCGGGAAGGCATTTCAACAAAGGATGCGCCGGGAAACGCATAACACGAGGAATGGCGAACGGCCGCGGAACAATGTTCTAACGAACCATGCTTTTCTCTGTGCTCCTCTTCTGTTCCGCGGCGTTCAACTCTTGCGACGCACAATTTGTCTTGCTGAACGATTTGACAGCGGGCAAATTATCCATTTCAACGAAATGGAAGGCAATTTATTCGCTGCCCCGAAAACTTATTTCACCGTGTCGTGCCGGCAACGACGATTTGTCGCTGTAATTTCGTATCATTTTCTAGGACGCTTCTACCGTTCGTTTTAAAGACCACTTCCGATTCGGCGAGCCTCGGGACCTATTGCGTTCGTGTGCACGAAATGTCGGATTTCGTGACTTCGTGACTTCTTTTTTCGAAAGAAATTTATTTCATCGAAATATGGCCCATTTGATTGGATACACTTCTCACAACGATTTTTAACGTACAAATGCCATTTTTAAAGAAATCCTGGTTTTTCGAATGAATGAAAACTCGGCTGTAGAGATTGTAATACTACTTCGAGAGATTACAATACTATACTTCGTTTATAAAGTGTTTATTCCTTGAAAAGAGTTTTATATCGGATGAATAGAGTGGGTATTGCAAAATTTGATACGTACTCAATTTTGAAATTGATTTTGTTATCGTGGCGAAGTATTGGCAGCATTCGTACGAAACTCAAAATAAATGACAAAACCATAACCCTGTAAAAAATATTATGGCAGAAACGTCAACATAATGCAAGCAGAAAAGACAAACGTTTGCACGTAATAAAAATCCAACATTTCATTTAATCATTGCCAATCGTGCGTAATTTTAATAAATTGCGAAGGTCGCGGAAGACGAAGTCGATGCACATTCGTAAAAACATGCGGAATTAGCTTCGTTGTGAAAGTGTAATTTGTTACAAGGGTAAATAATAGCATCGATCTTTGTGCCACGTCTTAGAGATTGTTGTCACGCTTTGCTGTAACAAATCATGCCTCAATCTCTCCGATCCAATCAATCGTTTTTACGACACCGTCATGAAATTGTCTCGCTGCTTGATTTCTTCTTCGTTTCACTTTCTTCGGCAAGAAATTAACTGTATTCGCTTAAGTAATCATTAGACTGCGGATCTGTGGCCGATCATCGTTATCGTCTGGCCTACGAGCAGCGAGAACTAATTAGCCTGTGAGAAGTGGTTGCTATACAAACCCAAATGCTGATTACTCGAGATCATGATCCTCGAGAAGCCTCTTCTTTGGTCGTTCTAGCGCCAGAGTACTCGACGGTAAGCTTTCGATTCGCTGATTAAAAAGTTTTCTGTTCAGGGGACTGAATAGTTGTTTATACAAAGAATGATGCGACACCTCAAAGCAAAGTTTTTGGAGGCTGTCGACACTGATCGTTAAACTGCGGATCTTTCTGCAAAATAAAAATGATTTTCATGAATCGCAACAAACATGGATGAAAGAGAAATTTTTTGCTTTTTTTAATAATAATTTCAGTGAGTTGAAAATAGCACATAGATGTCTTAAATACTTTTAATATTTTTTCCTTTCTTCGATTCATATTTTCTTTTTTCTTCTTTTAATATTTTCTTTCTTCTTCTTTTAATATTTTCTCTCTTCTTTCATTTTCAATATTTTAATAAACGTAAAAGATCTGTAGTCACCTGTTTGGTCCCCTAAAGAAGTTGTGCTGAAAACATTTCCCGATAAGACAACGCGAAATTTAGTTGACAGATGGATAAAATCGCTAGAAAAGTTATTTTATTAAAATACTAAAATATTAAAACATGTTCGATTTTCTTGATTAAAATAAATTCTCCGATTAGAGGATAATTTTTGAGTCAATAGAATTTGAACCTCCAATGAAAAGAGTCATCGGAAAAAATCACAAAGCCATGCAACGATAAACTTGGACACGTTTCAAAGCTTGAACAAAAATTCGATTCCATGAGAAAAAGAAAATCGAAGAATCAATGTACAGGAGTTTCCTGTAACTGCAGATCGTAATCCGCCAGTGGAAGCGAAGCGTGGTCGTCGCCATTCTCCTCGAAGAGCTTGAACCGCGAGGAACAGTCGTCGAAGACCGTGATCGACGGTGATTCACGCAGCATCCAGCAGCTGGATCGAAGTGTACGCACGCCCGCGAGGATCGATCACGCGGACAGATCCCCGAGTAAAAGTACCTCCTGGCGTCCTTCTGCGGTGCTCACCGTGGAATGTATTTCGCAATCTTATGCTAATTTGGTTAGTCACCCTCGGTAGGTCGGCTGCGCTGGATACGCGCGCACCGACGACGTGCCGATCTCGTGTTTCTCGTGCCGGAATAGAAGAGGCGTATAGCTGAAACGAGACGGCCACGGGAACAATGGCAACGGCAATTTGGCCTTTCTATACGATATCGATTGTTCCCCTGTCCTTTCGCGGCTCCTTCTCCCTAAACAAGGCCCATTCACTGCGGTACCTGTCAAACGGAGATCATTACGCGACGCCGCCGTCTAATCGCGCTGTCTTTGCTGTGACATTGAGGTGTTTATGAGACCTCGGCTATACACGACCAGTGCTGGCTGATATTTATAGAGAAAATATTTGAAAAACCATTTTATATAATAGATCTTTCACGATTCGAATAAAGTAGTGTATTTTAAATAGGACATCAAACTTCGGAGAATAAAATATTTGATTTTGACAATCCACAGCCGTAAAATATGAAATAAAAATTTTATTTCGATAACGTGAGTATGAAAATAAATATTTTATTTCGACGATCTCTAAAACGGAAGAGGAAATATTTTTTATTTTAATAACGTAAAGCGTCGAATTTATTGTTTGATTAAATACAGCTATTCACGTGTAACAAAGTGCATCTTTTATTGTACTTTTATAATGCAGAGGAAAAGTACTTCGTTCCTTTATTTAGATCACCAAAATAATTATGTTTCACGCTATGAT